TTTTTTTTTTTTAATTCTCAGGCCCCTTTCAGAATTTATTGAGGGCTGTGGGCCTTCTCCCCAGAAAAAGACACATTCACACAAAATTGTACATGCGATTTCAGGGGTCATATATTTTCCCTGTCTCCCTGGATATCCCCACCCGCCAGCAACCTACCCCCTTCATAGACTCACAGTTAAGATTCCCAGGCTTAGGTTCAAAGAGAAAGTAGTTCTCCCTTGCATTTGATTCAAGGGAAAAAAAACATAGTTTTCCCTTCTCTAACACTCCCGTGATTGGCCATCAGAGAAATAAACAGATTGAATTTAGATGAGCATTTGACCTAATTGACAGGTAACTCCTTATTTTACTGTAGTCAAAACCATCAAACCAGTTTATGTCAGCAAACATTATCCATCATGTTTACTCAAAAACGAATATAGTTCTTATTAGATTCACCTTTAAAAAAAAAAAAAAAAAGGCTGCCAAGGGGCACCTGGGTGGCTCAGTCAGTTAAACATCCGACTTTGGCTCAGGTCACGATCTCACAGTTCGAGCCCCGCATCGGGCTCTGTGCTGACAGCTAAGGGCCTGGAGCCTGCTTCAGATTCTGGGTCTCCCTCTCTCTCTCTGCTCCTCCCCTGCTTGCACTCTGTCTCTCTCTCTAAAGTAACGTTAGAAATAAATAAGTAAATAAATAAAATTAAAATATAAAAAAGTATCTGTCATGATCAGTAGCCTATACTGTGTACATTGCATCTTTGATGTATAATTGGTGAATTTATATATTTGCTTTATAACTTCCAGATTTAAACTTCCTGGGGAGAAATAAGTTGATATAATAAGACTTTGCTACATTAAGAACCATAATGGTCAATGAATTCTATTGTACATAGATAGAAACTTCGTTTTGTACCAGTTTTTTTGTTGTTGTTAAAATCAGTTAATTTAATTGCTGCTACCACCACCACCCCCCAGTGCATATTAGTCATTTTACTTGGTTAAGTTATCTGTTTCCTTGGAAACACAGACTAATATAGTCTTTATGTTATTGGTTGCATTTAAAGCTGTGAATGGAAGAGCAATGTTGTCAATAGGTTATTACAGAAAGGGATAGAGAACATTTTAGATCTTCACCATCTGTCAAGGTTATTCATTATATAACTTAACCACTCTGTTCTCTGCTTCTCTACCTGTAAAATTGACTTCAAGTTATTATTTGAGCATCCTCTTACATATACAGTTTAACTTATTTTGAGATCTACAGATGTGCAGTTCTCAGCCCAAAGTTTGATGACATTTTGCTTGCTCCTCCTGGATGCCCTTCTAGATTCCCTTCTCTTCCATCCTCTTGTCTCATAGTGGGCCACTTTGAACAATTCCAGGTGCCCCTTGACGTTGCAAAGATTGGAAGACTATAGATTTTTCCTTCCTCAGCTCTGCTGATCCTAACTCTCCCTAATCGAATTTCCTTCATCTGACTTCAGAAATAATTTCATTTTCATTGGTTGCCAATCATTTATTTTCTGTAGCTGCCCCCCCCCATTGGCTGAATGGGGAGGGTAAGGAAAAGTCAGTTGTGTCATTATCATTAGCAATATGGCAAGAGCAACGATATTATTTCTTGTTATTGAAGTATATAATACTCCTTTGCCTGTTTACTGCAGATTTCATCCATACGTACACATCTTAGTGTTCCCTTCCAGTGGGAAATTGAGGTAAGATGATAAAGAAGGGAAAATTATAAGATCATTATGTAAGTAATTAAATCTAAGAGAGTCTCAAAAATACATTCTCTGAAGATTTTTTTAAAGTTAGATTCATTTCCATGTGAAATAGTTTAGGTCTAGTTATTTCTGTGGCTTTGCTTCTCAGGTTAAAACTGCATACACGTACACGTCTTGCATTCGGTAACACAAAAGTGACATCACAGATCTGTGAGCTTAGTGTCAGAAAAGTCCATGGAAGTATATGGTGCAACGTGGCACCCAATGCATGCATGACATTTGATCGTGTCTACTCTGTTTGATCCCTTTCAGTAACAGGAACCTTAAACAACCCCTCATAGACAGCCCATTGCACCTTTGGAGAGCTCTTTTAGAAAATGCTTTCTTATACCGAACTGAAATCTACCTTCATCAAACATCCAGTCAGTAGCAGCAAATGCTAGCATTGGAGACAGCACGGAAGCTCTTCCCTCTCTTCCCTGACATGCTTCCACGTGTGTGAAGACAGCTATCCCAGCTTTCTGAGCTTTCTCTTCAGTCTAAACATCCTCGAGTCCTTCAGCTGTTTCTCACCGATTGTGACTTCTTTTCTTTTTCCTTGGATTATGGCCTCAGGGCTACTTTTCAGTTTTCTAAAACTAACGGATAATTACATGAGTAAAACTAGGAGGCACCATATCAAGTGCTTTGCAAGAATTCAAAAAGGAATATCCCCCTTGCTCCCCTCTCATCTTCTAATTTCACAACTCTATTAGAAAACCTGTTAAGCATGACTGGGTATGATTTATTCTTTATAAAAACCTCATGCTGTTATTGTTCAAGATGCTGATATTCTCCAGATCTTTATTTTGTCCTTCCCTTAAAATGAAAGAAAGAAGAAAATAAGAGCCTGACAAATGCTTCCTGGTACCTTGACAATTTGGACTCAACAAGTGTCACTGTGACATGAAAATTTCTCTTGAGATTTTACTGTTTATTTTACAGTGACTGGTTAGTATTTCCTCCATTGTCCTGAACTTGACTCCTGTCACTGACTAGGGATTGAGTAGAACTGGAATAGCACCCATTTAGGGGCGGGTAGCGTGCAGAAGGGCAGCAGAACTTGTAGAGCACTCTGCTGAAGGAACAAATGGAACCTGGGCTTTGAGAGCTCTGAAAATATCTGAGAAATGACTAAGACCCATCCCTTTGGCAGAAGCACTGGAGCAACAAATAGAGAGACACTCCATGTGGATGAAATAGGTGGTTACCTCTCCAGGGTGAGCTTGTGTATTAGCGGTAGGCTCCCTCCACTGCACCCAGCAACATCTTTGCTGCCCTTCCATGGTGCCCAAATTCCCTCTCTAAGAAATGTGGTCCTTTGAGGTGAGGCACTGCATCTCTAAGAGTCCCCGACCCAAGAACCTCTGTTAGAATGACCAAGCGAAAATCATCATTAGCCCTTGGGCATGGATTCATTGGTCGGATTGGTTTCTAAGGAGCTGCTAGCTGAAAGCAGGGCCCTAAAACACACGACAGGTAAGATGTGATAAGGGCAAGGGACAGAGCCAGAGCGCGAGGGAGGTGAGGGTTGCTGGAGTTGGAAGCTCTAAGAAGTCAGTAAACGGCAGGAGTGGGAACTCAGTCTTCAAAGGAAGGATACCACAGAAACATGAGCAGGGAGGGAAGTCCACTTTTCGACATCAAATATTTCTGGCTAAGTGTAAGGGAAGAAGCTGAGAACAGCATGAAAAACAAGGAAAGTGCTACAACCACCACAAAGCAGGCCGGGCAAACCCATGATGCCAGGTCAGTAGACAGGAACTCCCAAGTTGGCATAGTCTCTCTTTCTCCATCTCCCACCTCACTAATGTACAAAAAGAAGAGGTCGAACGTTATGCTAAAGTGAAAGAAGCCAGACACAAAAAGGCACATGCTCTGGGTCCATTTATGTGAACCACCCAGAATAGGCAAGTCCACAGAGATGGAAAGCAAATTAGACAGAAAGCCTGGGCCTGGGGCAGGGCGGGAATAGGGATCGACTGCTAACAGGTACGGGCTTTCTCCCTGAGGTGATGAAAACGTTCTGGGAATGGATGATGGCAATGGTGGCACAACTCTCTGAGTTTACTAGAAACTGCTGAATTGTACTTTTTAGAAGGGTGAATTTTATGGTATGTGAATTATATCTCAATAACTTTTTTTTAATTAAAAAAGAAGAGATGGCCCTTTTAATCATCTCGGTCCTGAGAAAATCCAAGATCAAGTTACAGACCCTACCCTCGGGAGCATTTCTTGGTCCAAAAAGATATGGCAGTTCTACGCCTTTCTCCTCCTCCTAACTCGTGGCAAGCTTCAAGGCAGTCAGTTGCCAGGCGGCAGTGCCCACTGATGGGCCCGGGCACTTGCGAAGAGCTCACACTGGCACCTCAGCGTGCCATCGGTTGCTAGCTACACAGCAAACTGACTTTGGTGGGAGCTCCATCCTAAATCCTTAACTAAAAGTAATCCCGAGACAGAACAAGGTCACACACTGGAAATAAATTCCATCATTTTCACTTCCTCCTTCTGGGATGTTAATGAGAGACGCTGCTCTTCATAATACACGACATCTTTCCACGTTCACGGTGACATTATTGGCAGGATCAGAAGCAGCTGCAAGAAAGTCAAACCACTCTCCTCCCCACCCCTTGCCATCACCATTGCAAAACGCTTTGTAGCCACACAAGTGGTTCTGTACCATGAGAATCTGTTGTCAATGAAGCCATGTTTTAATGAGGTCCTTCTAGTACTTTCACAACTCGACTTCCTTCAGGAAGTGATTAGAGCCGGCCTCGAGCACACTCACCTGCTCGTTTAGAGGCCACAGAAACAAGCAAGTGTCTGGAGACAAAGAAACTCAAAGAGGTCCAAATGCCCGAGGCCGGGTTTCTAATCAGAGCTCCATCCTTCCCTGTTGACCTTTTGTGTCAACCCACAGGATACCTACCCTTTTGAGGTGGGCCAGGGAAACAGAAAAGTCAGTGCATCCTGACCTGTGGCCCAACTAGTGAAATTCCCAGAAAGATTTTCTTTGAAAAGAGTTGAATCAGTAGGAGCAGATAGCTTCAGATGAAATCATTTTGTATCTTCCCCACTTTCCTGACATTGCAAAGAATAAGAACATTTTCTAGTTTAGATAAAAAGATGTGTTACCTTCATGTTTTTTAAGATGACATGAAGGTCCAGGTTTAAAAGGATTTTAAAATTAAAATGACCGTGTTTCACAGATGATTATAGCCTTTTAATTCTGGGCAGATGTGACCCAAAGTCAGGCCTGTACACAGACCGCGTCCCCTGTGCGAGAAGGCTCATCCCAGGTCCCAGAGTGAAATACCCTAGGCAGCACCATGTGCCAAGGGGCTTACCAGTAAGGGTCTCCCAAAGTGTTTTGCTTCTTCTGACCTGACAGATCTGTTTTGCCTACCCCGCTTGCCCTGCTGGAGTATAGATAATTGGAAGACACGAGGCCCTAGTAGCTGATGTACATGATGTTTTAGTGATGCTATTTTGATGCAGCAGTTCTGCCACGGTCTAAGAGAAAACTTTTCCGCTTTTAATTTGTCAGGTCTTTTAATATTGCTAAGTAATGTGCTAATGTACACAAGAGATGTCCCTGTCTTATCTCTGAGATCATATAAGTGGCTTTGGGCTAGATCTGGGAAGCCCATTGCACACAAGGCTTGATTTGCCATTTTGGCAAAGTAGCTTTCAGAACAGAGGCTGCAGTGGTCTGACCCTTTGCAGTGGCTGCTTCTTCAAAGGCTAGCCCAGTGGTTCTTAAACCTTTCCCTGCATCAGAATCGCCAGCTGAGTCTGTTAAAAATGAAATGCCCAGGCCCCATGTCCACCACGAGGTTCTAATTCAGTACAAGTGGGGAGAAGCCCAGGAAACTGCACATGTAGCAAGAACCCAAGTGATTCTGGTGAAGATGGTCCAGGGAGAAAAAACTGTCTTAGAGCTTTGCCCACCCACCAAGCAGGCTCTCCCTTCGCCTTGACACCATCTTAAGAGGAGAAGCCAGGAAGGCTTTGCCTTGCACATCTGATGAAATGATCCCTATGGAGTCTCTAATAGCCACAAACTGGGTTAGGAATAGGTGTGTCTGCTTAGATTTGGCTTGTTGAATGATACTGACAACTCTCTATTTGTTTTTACTTGCCACTCATGGATAACCTTGTGCACCCTAGAAACAGAGATACCAGACATAGGTGAGTAAATCACGTGGGCAGCTACCTAATGCCCCTTCTTGCCTAAGAGGCCACCTCGTAATAATGTGCTAACAGGGAGATTTTACTTTTCAAGTGAGGTTAAAGGAATGATGTGAACGTGAATTTAGAAGTTATGATTCAGGTAAGAGTCTTACAAAAGAAGAGAGCTCCGTTAAGTGGGAATTTGCTGGAGGATCAGACCCTATCGAAAAGAAAACAAGATAAGTGAGAACTGGCAGTTCAGTACTTCATGGGGAAGCAAGCCTTAAGTCTCATTATGTTTTCCTTAGGTGATATCACAAATGAGTCTGTAAGTACAAACAGATTCAATGTTTTCAAGTTGCAGGTAGAAAGAGAGGTAATACAGCAATCTTCCCAGATCCAGAAATATAGTTGACAAGTGTATTAAGAGACAGTGACCATGATGACCTTCTTGAATAAGATTTTTCTTTTCTCCTTTTATGTGACCTCATGATTTCTATTTCTTCCCACCAAAAAGAAATAATAGAAAAACTTTAAACCAACCATTTACCAACAATGGCACGTAGCTCTGAAATTAATCATAATGAATATTTTTCTTCAATTTGTTTATGCATTACACTTGTCAAAACTGTTCTAAATTACCTGAAATTGCAAAGGAGAAAATTGAATTTGTTCACTTCCGAATGCCAATTGTCATCAAAATGGCACTGATAGGGTTTTTAATTTGGGTTTCGTTTGGGAGATGCCACTTCCTAAATGCCAGTGCACAAGATAGCCTTGCTACTTTGGCATAACTGATTCTTTAAGCAAATTAAGTTGGTTGTCAAATTGCTTACTAGTAAAGCGTTGCACAGTATTAATTATAAGCATTAATTGCCCATTTAACAATCTGCGATTTTAACTAGCATGAATGAAGTGATCTTTGCCAAGTTGAAGGGCATTGCTCGAATGTAACACTAACCAGAAGGTGACAATAAGTCTAACGCTGAAGTCATAAAAGAAATCTCCACGTATCTCAAATTGCAATATGCACGTAGACACAAGGGATTAGAACAAATTGGAATGTAGTCCAGTGGTTTTCTTTCTCAGGTATGGCATGTTTTTAGAAAGTGGAAAGAAACCAATCTAAAAAGAGCTGAAGTGCACTTGGGAAATGGCATGAAATGGCAAGAAATTACATATCTATATAGGAGACCTCCCTGACTGTTGCCTGTCAAGAAAATAACATTAATCAGATTTGAATTTTGTGTGTTGGGCTATTCCATTTTCTAAAGGCCAGTGCACAAAATTTTAGAACAGCCTAGCTGAGCAAAACAGGATATGTTGCTCAGTTAGAGGAAGACAGGAGCACAGATTTTTTTTTTTTTT